TCAACCTGTGGGTCGAGACCCGTTTGGGGGTCAACCAACCCTTTCACAGGGGTCGCCTAAGACCATGGGAAAACACATATATAATTACATATTGTTTTTGTGATTAATCACTATGCTTTAATTATGTTCAATTTGTAACAATGAAATTGGGGGTCACCACAACATGAGGAACTGTATTAAAGGGTCGTGTCATTAGGAAGATTGAGAACCACTGCTGTAAAGCATTTCACCCTTTCTAAGTTGTGCTTTTGTAAGGTTCTATCTTCATGCCCTTAGAAAATGCTTCCGTCCCCCAAAACTATCTACCTTTACAGGACTTGCGAATATTAACAGTTAGTAATCATCCCACTGCTCTGTCTTCCTAAATTACAGTCCCTTTACCAGAGACTGATGCATTATGTATCCTTCTTGAGAATCTAAAAGGTAAAAGGACAACAGGTCAATATTTAACTAGCCCAACTCACAGACAACAGCAAACACCAATTTTGATCAGTTGCTGATCACCAATTCCTAAAACTGGAATGGATGCATGAGATCAATGACAAACCAAAGGGGACAATATACAAGCAATAAGGAGTGTCTTGCCAGTAGAGAAAAAAAATAAATGAAACCAACTTATTTTCCCAGCTTACAACCAGCCCAATGCCTCTTTCCCCATTGTCATCTTGTATGCCCGTTAACAAGCGAAGTCTTTTCTGATTTTTTTCTTTAAAGCTAGAGTCCATGATTTAAACGCTAGAGTGGTCTAAGTTTTATGGAACATGCACCTTTGTCTTTACAAGACGAAAAGTAAAAACAATCCTTATGAAACAGCATGTTTAACCATTTTAAAGCAACAATCCTTCAAACTTCAGTGCAGCTAAGGTCATTTGGGGTGTGAGAAATACAGAATCCCAGGAAATACCTCCAAACAATTCTAATGGCCTGTAGAACTCTGAAATGCCAACCAAATTACAATCAACCCTAACTCCATTTTCTGGATTATAGGCAACTGACTGCAATTAACAAGCCACGCCTACTCAATTTGCACATCTTGCTAGAATAATTTTTACCCATGAAAATCTTCAGGCTAGAGTTCTTAACTAAATATGACCACAATAGTGAAGAAAGTTAGTCTGCACTCATCTCAACTGTGTTAAAATTAGCAAAAACCCCACCATTTTATTAATAGTTTGGGTCATCCTTAAATGTTAGTATATTGATAAACTGCACCATTAACCACTTCGAAAGAAATTAACTTTGCTGAAACATGTCAGTGTATTTATTATGCTACAAACAATAGATTCTGATATTTGAGGTTAGTATAAGCCCAAACCAAATAAACTCATTATACATTTCAGGACCAACACAAGTATTGTGATAGACAGTAAGTTATTACGGTTTTCAAAATACCCAATATCTCAATGCTCTAAACATAAAGTATTTTTAAAGTAGAAGATACTTCAAAAAACTTTTCCAAGCAGTAAAACAATAAAAACACAAAGACTAAAGCATAGAACACAAAAGCTTAATTGGATCCTAATGTTAACACTACCTTTCAAAATTATCTCAGCATGAATGGCACAAAAAGGTGTTCCACACACTATATTCTAATACTTGTGACCAACAATGAAGCAATTGCTACTCCAGTGTGGAAGGAGTAATGTGTTAACAAGACCTGCAATCTTACAACACATTAAATGTTAGGAAAGAAATAAAAGATGAAACCAAGAACCCCAGAAAGAGAGGTAAACTCACCTGGTAGCAGGACTCTAGTAAACCAAAAAATATCAAGATTTGAAAGAGGAAAGCAGACCTAGAAAGTTCATGTTACTTGAAAAGTGGGATTGATAGCTCAAGGGTCTACAGAACTGAGGAAGCATTGCCATTAGTTATCTAATACTGTCCATTAGTAAATTGGGATTGAGTTTTAATAAACTAGCACAGCACCTATGTGTTTTGTTGGCCAAATTCTACAGTACCGAGTTACTTGTAATTTACCTGCCCTTTTTCCCCAAAAAACAGATGCTAAATACAGACCATGTCACTTCTAGTCTCTTCTGAAGTCCTCCTAAACCTCAATACTTCAAAAAGGGGCGAGGGAGAACACGAAAAACCCTGAAGACAAACATGGGAGAGAACAAACTTTAAAAGCTGCAGTTTATGAACAAATGACTAAGTATACAAAAGAAAAACTGAATGTACTATCAGTGGTGAGGATCTCTCTGATTAAAACCACAGAACTGTCCCCAAAGGCTTAGCAACCCACATACCTTCAAAAATGTAAAAAGGACTAAAAGATTGTTGCGAAGTCTGACAAGCAGTTAAACCCCAGATCCACTCCGTACTGCTAGACCACTTAACTCCACCTGGCAAAAACTGGAGATTATGTGAAGTGGGTAAGAGAGGGTGATCTTTGGACTCAATAGGCATACAGTGATGAAAATAAAAGAATTAAAGTAGTTTACGTATTCAGATCCCGCAGATTTCTTCTCCCACTGGGATCCTAGAATACTGGAAG